GGGGGATATACTCGCATTTGTTTGGGGCAAACCGGAAGCAGTATTCAATACTGAACTCTTCGCAAATCCGCAACATTCCATCGGTTGTGTAGTGTAGTGGTTATCACTCTTGACTTTGAATCAAGTAACCCGAGTTCGACTCTCGGCATGACCTACTCAAGTTTTGTTATTTTTATTTTTATTTTTTCCAACTTCTGTATTTTAGTTTGTCAATCATAATCATTACAGATGCTGCGCTGTTTGACTTTTCGAAAAGATAATTATCTGACACATATTTAATTTTGCAACTCCTTTATATTCAGCCACAAAGTGTGATGGCCAAAGTTCCACCATCGTTTGCACCTCGAACAGCGAGCCTGCCTTCCCATGCAGACGACGACAATTTCAACGACGCCGTTTCTGTTTCTTCAAACACGTCCACTGGCTCCTTTTGGAATTACATAACTGAAGTCGGCAGCTTTGACGGTGCAAAGAGAAGCAGAAGTAAAATCTACCCGAGAACTGTTTCTTCTGCTCAGGCATGGAATGACACTTTAAGTTCAACGTGGTCTGAACGGCGACCAAGCTGGGAAGGAGGTGATGGTTTCGGACAATTTGGTCGGCGGATTATGTCCCATCACAAGCGCCCTTCTATAGGTAAACGAACAATCAGTCTAAATCCTGATAGCACGTTTGGCGATTTTGGAAGGACTCGGAATGAAACAGAAGTACGACAACATTTAGATTTTATTCAAAAGCAGCAATGCGGTGCATTGGACATAGAGAAGGAAGAGTTGGCGCGGACGTTGTTTAAGTTGAATGCAGAGCTTGAAAATAATCCCAAGAGCGTTACATCAACCCACGGTCGGTTTCAGATTCCCGGTAAATTGTACTCCTCATTAATTTCACAAAATTCGAAAAACAGCGCAGAACGAATCGTGTTTTGGAAGGGAGTTTATGAAAATCCGCCGGATTCAATATCAAACGTTCGTACTTTAATGGAATTTAATCTTCCAATTCCGTCTGAATATCGCGGAACGATTTGGTGGAT